CATGTTCCTCAAACCATTCCTGAACATTTGTTGCAGTGTTGGAGAGTGCATTATCCTGTTGAAAGAAGTCACTGCCACCAGGGAACACCATTACCATGGAGGGGTGTAAGTGATCTGCTACAATCTTTAGGTAGCTGGTACATGTCAAAGTAACATCCACATGAACGTCAGGTCCTAAAGTTTTCCCGGAGAACATTGCCCATATCATAACACTGTCTCTACTGGCCTATCTTCTTCCCATGGTGCATCCTGCTGTCATTTCTTCTCCTGGTAAATGACACACACCCAGCAATCCACATGATCTAAAAGTAAAAATGTGATTCATCAGACGTGTAACCTTCTTCCATTGCACCATGGTCCAGTTCTAACACTCATGTCTGTATTGAAGTAATATTCGGCGGTCACCTATGCTCTTAGTTCGGATACTTTGGCCTTAAAGTTAAGATTTACTTTACTAAATAACCCTGTTAATGTGTTCCATTCCATTACAATACTTACACGTGTGAGTAACCATGAGAGTATGAAACAATATAACATTTATCCCCTTAACGACCGCGGATGTACCCTGTACGTCAGGGCTCGGCAAATTCCAGGCGCCAGGTATACCTACTCCATCCTGAAAACAAGCTCCAAGGACCCTCCACTTATATCCATAGACGGGGATTATTCAGTCCAGGACTTCATAAGAGCTGAGACAGCTGTAAAAAGTGTGAGTGTGCACATTTGCCCATTTATACTCTCTTAAGGTGACGGTGTAATGCATATCCATAAAATGCATGTACACGCGCTATGTTTAAAAGCAATATTTTTATTTATGCCTTTGTTTTCTTTTTGAGTTCATTATTCAGTTTTACAAATAGAATTAAGGAATTTCCATAGAGATCAATGGTTGTCCAAAATTTGATAAACAAACAAAGATGTTTACTAAATGTTGGACGAAGAGAACCGACATTTGAACAAAGTTTGGAGAAACTGTAAAATCTTTGGAACAAATTATCAAAAAAACCAATATTTCCATGTAAATCTCTATTTAGGAGCCCACCACCATTTCTTGGTAACAATGTATATTCCAATGGTAGCAAGCTGAACTCATTTTTCTGTTGATAGTCTATCTATAATTGCTATAATTTCCTGTTTAAAGGTCACAGTAACGCGCATAGCTCTTAATTTCCTACAGATTTTTAATCATTGATCTAATTGCAACGGAGGGTCTTACGAGCCATACTGAGGCCAATTCACAGACGTTTAGTGTCTTCCTTTTATTTACGATGCCCTGAATTGTCAATGAATATATGAGAAACTCATAAATGCCAAAACAGAAAATAAAAAAAAATAAAAAACCCTGGATTGAAAACTGTTCATTGATTTATTAATAAACTGTTTAAGTAAAGTATCTGCAGCCCTTTCAGGTGATGAATTATTCATTACGATTGAAACGCTCCAGAATTACTTTTATCATTGATTCTCTAAAAAGCTTGCACGGTTCCTGCCAATTCATAATTATTACTGACAATATGTCATCATAACTTGTGACAAGTGATCAGATTTGCTTACACAAGCATTATCATTTCAGGGCACCTGAAAGGATTTGAAAGCATGGAGGACCAATCTGCCAAAGCTTTGATATATCGGCTGTCAGACGACAAAGAGTCCAGAGGTATGTTTTGTTCTCCTCCTTTGAAGCGAGCTCTGTGTATGGACTAACGTAACATTTATTTCCTGATAAGATTGCAGTGTGGATTTCCCCTGTCCAAGTGACCTTCTACCTTCAAAGAAACATATTAAATGGGAACTCTTCTCTTGATATTTTATTTGTTATGGGTCGTTAAAATCTTCAAATACCCAGAAATTTCAAAGTTATCTTGTTCTATTAGTTAAGTGATGAAAAGTTAAAAATAATATATCGTTCAGTATCTATGTTGCCTTATTTCAAAGATGATGGGTAGACACACTAGGAACTCAACAGAACTCATTTTTATCAGGTGAGCAAGGTTAGTGAGGTCACAGGAGAGTGAGGTAACTCTGAGGTTAGTGAGCTTACAGGGAGTCAGGTGACAGGTGAGTAAGGTTAGTGAGGTCACAGGAAAGTGGGGTAATTCTGAGGTTATTGAGTTTACAGGTATCAGGTCAAAGATAAGTAAGGTTAGTGAGGTCATAGGTAGTCAGGTTATAAGTGAGTAAGGTTAGTGAGATCACAGGTGAGTAAGGTTAGTGAGATCACAGGTAGTCAGGTCATAAGTGAGTAAGGTTAGTGAGATCACAGGTGAGTAAGGTTAGTGAGGTCAAAAGAGAATGAGGTAACTCTGTTTAATGAGGACAAAGTTGAGTAATGTTACTCTTAGGTCAGTGAGGTTACATGTGAGTAACCTGGAGGTGAGTGAATTTGAGATACTTTGTTTTTATTTAATGGGGGTATGTTGGTACTGTACATACATGTGATAGCAAATATGATGTCCCTAACATGTGGAATTAAAAGAAATGTGAGTGCCAGCTAATAAAGCTTATAAAAAGAAGGTAATGCCAGACTCCTTTCCCCAACACTAGGGGTGCTGTTGATAAAACCAAAGAAGAATTGTCCACACACCTAAAGCACTTTAGCTTGCTGGAGTGCTTTATGTGTGAAGAGGGTGTGCTTTTTTAAATTTTACAAAAAGTACAGATTAACACTTTTATAAAGTAACCTTGTTACACCCCCTGCCTGTCAATCAGACAACTAGTTGTGGTACTTCCTGGCTGTTTTGCTCAGTGGATCTAAACTCAAGAGACTGCAACTGCCTTCCAAAAATGTTTCAAGCCTGTGATTGGATGGGGGTTTGTGGGGGGGTGGGGGGGCTTTAAACAAGGCCCCTGGAGTCTTAGGCACCTGACTGTGATTGATTATAGGTAATCTGGTCTTATGTGTAAATGGTTTTTTTAGTGTCATATTTTTACTTTCGTGATTTCATAAAAATCATATTAATTTATTGTAAATATGTGCCTAATACACTAAACACAGCATTTTATTATGTGACTATGGTTGCCAGACCCACTTTGCATATATAGAAAGATTACCTAGGCTGCCAGATAAGACTACATGTCAATAGGTAAAATCTCCTTTATTCAAGTCTAAAAGCAATACAGTCATTATTATTATTATTATTATTGCCATTTATATAGCGCCAACAGATTCCGTAGCGCTTTACAATATTTTGAGAGGGGGGATGTAACAAATAGGACAATTACAAGAAAACTTACAGGAACAATAGGTTGAAGAGGACCCTGCTCAAATGAGCTTACAGACTATAGGAGGTGGGGTATTAGAAACATTAGGACAAGAAATATCAAGTAGGAGTGAAGCAGAGCTGGAGGAGAGAGCAAAGCACTGTCCCATAGGAGAGAGCAGGAGACAGGTATGTAAGGTAGAGATTACTCTGGGAGGCCATAAGCTTTCCTGAAGAGATGGGTTTTAAGGCCCTTCTTAAATGATTGAAGACTAGGGGAGAGTCTGATGGCAGTAGGCAAGCTATTCCATAGGAGAGGAGCCGCCCGCGAGAGGTCCTGCAAGCGCGAGTTGGCCGTACGGGTGCAAGCAGCGGTCAGGAGGTGGTCACGGGCAGAGCGGAGGGTACGAGGAGGGGCATATCTATGGATTAGTGAAGAGATATAAGTGGGGCTAGAATTGTTCAGTGCTTTAAATGTATGGGTTAGCACTTTGAATTGACTCTTATAGCATACAGGGAGCCAATGTAAGGACTGGCAGAGGGGTGAGGTGTGAGAGGACTGACTAGAGAGGAAAATCAGTCTAGCTGCAGCATTCATTACAGACTGTACCGGGGCAATACGGCTTTTGGGGAGACCAATCAGGAGAGGGTTACAGTAATCCATGCAGGAAATTACTAGAGCATGGACAAGCTCCTTGGTAGCATCTTGCGTAAGAAAGGGGCGAATGCGGGCTATGTTTTTGAGTTGGAACATGAAAGGGTTCAAGTTTAACAAAGAATATTGTTTTCTTCTCTTAGAAGGTTTTCTGATTTTACTGAACAGTCAAAACTAACATGACCTCCATTAAAAAAGGCATAACTTACATACGGAGAGTTCACATGGAATCTTCGCAAATTGGATTTGTTTGCAAAGCTATACTCCCTGTGTGTAAACAAATCATCTCGCTTGCATCTGGCTTTAAACATCCACCCACAAGAAAGTAAAAGGGAGACAGTTACAATATCTGCTCCCAACATTTCATCAATATGGAAATCCACGTTTATTTTATAGGAGAAAAAAAAGCATATATAGACAAAAAAAAAATCTATAATACATCATTACATCGTGTTTCTAATTTATATAATGTACTATGAATCCTCGTACATATAGAAAATGCATGATTATTGTGGGTGGAAGGCTCTCATCATTAAAAGGAACACTCCGGGAACCATAATAACTTCATCAGAATTAAGGTCCATGGCGCCAGTTTACCTGAAGGCCTTAATCAAGAAGCTGATAAACTGAGATGTATAGTTTTCACTCTGATTTGTGAATGGGGAGCTACTGATAGATTAAAAGTATCAGCTGACAATCTCAGCCTATCAGCAGTGCCCAGTCTGCGGGTTCCTTAGTGAATAACGATTGAATCCTCACCCGGAAACAGAAGTGGAAGAGCTGATGGGCGCTGACGTCCTTGCACCATAACATCTTAATTCCAATACGTTATTATGGTGCTCAGAGTGTCCTTTTAACTTCTAAAGGACATGGTTTAAGGGGAAGAACCATAATTATTTCTGAAATGTTCAATTTACTTCAAATTCCATGCATACACATTGCACATTTCCATCTCTTGCTAATTTTGTGTTGTTTTTTTTTGTGTTGTGTATAAACTATACACAAGTTACAGTGCAAAGGAGTATATTAACTAGGTATAAATATAGAGACTGTTTTTACTGCTCCTCATTAGTGATGTCCCGAACTGTTCACCGAACTGTTCGCGAACGGTTCGCCATGAACGGTTCACCGCGAACTCCAGTCAGCAGACACATTCCAGCCAATCAGCAGCAGACCCTCCCTCCCAGACCCTCCCAACTCCTGGACAGCATCCATTTTGAAGCTGCATTCTTAGTGAGCTGTCCAGGAGGTGGTAGGGTCTGGGAGGGAGGGTCTGCTGTTGATTGGCTGGAATGTGTCTGCTGACTGGAGTCCGCGGCAAACCGTTCGCGGCGAACCGTGGCGAACCACGGCGAACCGTTCGGCGAACAGTTCGGGACATCACTACTCCTCATCTTTTTTCTGTATTGGTCACTTCTCACTTTATCTGTGAATAAAATCAGCATTTAGTGACTGACCCCTAGTTATCAATCATCTCTTTTTTTTGGTGCTACGGTCAGGATTTAGAATATTGACGCTCCACACTCCTCCCCCACCTCCAAACATGTTTGGCATTGCACAGTATGGTTGTCCTTAATTCAGGTATATTTCAGCATGGAATTCGTCGGAACACACAATTAGTCCAAATCTGGCCGAACTGCAGTTCGGTACAAACCGAATCTCCAAGTCTAAGGTAGAGTAGAGTTATCAGATCACCATATAATTGTACATAGCTTATAAATTCTGCATTCTCTTCTTTTTTAGGATTTAAAAGCAAGAAAGAGCAGCCATGATTGTATATATCAAATCTGATCTTTCTACTAGTTTCAAGGACTGACTGACAAACATGACTGTTCTTTCTTATTAAATAAAGAGTTCTCTTTCTTTTTTATATATTAAAATAATAAAATCTGTTCTTCGTTTTAAATCTAATTCCAATTGAGCATGGCCCTCAACTCGTGCTTTACATATATAATAATAATAATAATAATAATAACAACAATCAGAAATTTGAGTAGATAAAACCTGACACTTTTAGACCTTTTTTAGAACAATTTAATGAGCGTATAAATTAAGTACCATGTGCAGTCTTACAACCTGGGTGACTCACAGAGATAATCATCCTTTGGACCACATGAGTCTTTTAAAAACACATGAGACCGAGCACCCAATATGACTGTGTAAATAGATTGTGCATTAAGTATTAAAGGACAACCCACATATTCACATGAATTCTAATTGTGCATCCATCTATTTGGTTTAGAATTATCTGAATAAAAGGAACATATTGTATCCTTCCCTGTATAATGGTCCGATTGATTGTAAATCTATGAATAACCAGAAAATAACCAGTGATTGGTCACGGTGAGTAACAACAAATCTCAGTGAAAAGGATTCTGCAGCCCTAAAAATATCACCCATTAAATAATAATCTATGAAACCGCTTGTTTTAATATACAGCAGGACTGATAAGGACAATTCATGGGAGAGAGTAAGCAGTTAAATTAATTAATAAATGGGGATTTTATAAGGCTAACTAAAGGGCGCCAGGGGGTTTATTTGCTACATTGTAATTTGTGGCCATTTGACAATTAATTCCAAACATTAGGGATGAATAAAATCTTAATAATTAAATTCAATTAACAAATAAAAGTAGAGACAAACTTGAGGTCCTTACTTACTCTTAATTAAATAAATCATCGAAGCTGAATGCTTAATGTGCCTAATAACAGGAGCACAGTGTTTAAATACTGGGTCTGAGAGCTTAATCATAGGTGCGCAGTGTTTGTTCCTAGAGCCTGAGTGCTTAATAGGATTATACAGTTGCCAACTTGTGAAATAATTCCATGATTAAAAAAAATAACCCATACATAGAGAGTGTCAACATTGACTTTAAAAATAAAGAAATACAGTGTGCTATTCTAAAGAGATTCTCCCATAAATTAAATCATAAACTATATAGAATCAAATATTACAAAGTGAATAGGCAAGGACAACAAAAAGCAACAAAAGTATTGTATATACCAAGCCTACCCACCCCCCCCCCAAAAAACAACAACATTTCGACTCTAAACAGTGTCTTTCTGGGGGGACTGCAGCAACACTCACCTCCCCACAGGGCGGGACTGGGACAAAAATTCAGCCCGGGCATTTAAAGGCACAGCAGCCTTCGGAGGGGTGTGGCCCAAGAGGGTGCATGTTGTGTCATCACCAATGACATTCATGCCTCTCCAAAGTGAGCACATTTGTTTAATACACCTCAGGGCAGTCCATGTGTAGCGTGTGGCTGATGGGCGATGTGTGTGTGAGGGGGAGACAATAGTGGATGTTGTGTGAGGGCGGAATAAGAGATCTACAGTGTGGAAGGGTGAAATGGGGCTGCAGAGTGGGAGAGAGGACATGGGGCTGCAGGGTGTGAGAAGGGGACATGGGGCTGCATGGTGTGAGAATGGACATAGAGCTGCATGGTGTGAGGGGACATGGGCCGGCCGCATTCCAGGCAGGGCCGGATGGCCGTCTAGCTGGTCCGGCGGCACACTCACTAATGCTGACAGCAGTGAGCTGTCAGCATAGGAGGACTGAAAGAGGGAGCATGCCTCTCTATCATGCTCCCTCGCGGTTCCTACAATTCCCAGCACAGCCAAATCATACCATGCTGGGAATTGTGGGAACAGTGAGAGAGCATGATAGAGAGACATGCTCCCTCCGTCAGTCCTCCTATGCTGCCAGCTCACTGCTGTCAGCATTAGTGAGTGTCCTGCCAGGCACAGAGGGAGGAGACAAAGAGGCACACAGAGGGGCTGGAGGTAGAAAGAGACACACATAGGGGCTATATATATAAATTGTATATACATAATCTGACGTGCTGCTATTATAGAATGTTACTGTATAGAATAAAACAATACCTTATGGTAAAAGATTACCTTATAACGGCTACATAGGACCTTTATTAATTTGAAACGGCCTAAAAGAAAACCTGTCATTAAACTGCCATAAGTAATCACTACGTTTCATTAAACGTTATAAATTTGCTCCAAAAATGAGAAGTGAAAATTTCATGGCATTCGTCCTTCAAACAGACAAGTCCAGCCACCGGCCTCTTTTAATATTGAGAAATGAGCAGGTTTTTTGAGAAATCTGTCTCTTTTAACCTTTGCTCACAATTCCTTTTTATGCACAGAAGATGATGAGCAGCTTGACAGCCCTTGATGCTATTCTTTGGAGGAGACACTTTGTGAATGTTGAACCGAGTATCTCTGTAGCAAGTTGGGGTTCTATGAGACAAGGATTTGGAAAATCCTGATCCATTCTTTAACATGAGTTCATCCAAGGATAGGATTGGACGTTCCCCACCTTCATGTTTCCAAGGACCTCGGCCGGCTTCAATTCATTATTGTTTTATTCCATTAAATAGACGCTCTTGCAGGTAACGCATAACGACTGGCTCTGAGTACAAGGCACTAATTAAAGTGCTATATATTTTACACCATTAACCCCATCATGAAATGATTAGACAAATCCTTTGTACCATGACTGCTGTGAAAAGTCATCTGGCTTAAGATGTGCAGTGCATTGCTCGTTGATGTAATTGGTGTGTTCTTTTTTTTAAAGACCAATTTATAAAGTATCCAACAATGTAGCTCTGTATTTATATTTAATGAATTTTAATGGTGTACATGTTAAAGCTCAGAACTGACCAGTAAAATATTTAGCACTTCCTCTACTTCAAAGTGTGATTATTTCATAAAGATAAGCCTTTTCTTTGAATCTTTGTATCTGTTTTACCCAACCGTTAAATTACACTTAACCTATCAGCATTCTTTAAGCCACATCTTAGTAATTAAATATTTAAATTTCACGGTACAGTAATTAGCTCAAGCACTATGCCCCTCATGGAAAAAGTGTTTAAGGAAGTTTCCTCCTACAGTTAAATTACATCTTAGGTTTGTGTATCTAGAACCAGATAGTAGCATGGCTGAGGATGATATGCTGGAAAGCATGACTGAGGATGAAATGCTGGGAAGGTGAGCCAAATTGGAAATTTCCTTAAAAATCATCCATGTTTTCAATTCAGTTACTTTGGCCTAAAATTTGAATTCCTAACAAGACACCTTTTAACAAACACCCCTGTCAGAGGCAATGTTTACAAAACACACGTTTGAAATAAAAATGGCGCCCCCATCTGATGATTTGCTTGAATGCTAATAGAATCATCTCCTTAATGTACCCATAGTCTGCCCGCTCAGAACTAGAGCGAGGAATCACTGAACACCACCAGCTCACCTCACCTTTGAACTTCTGGAGTGCCCGGATCACGATCCTCCTGATGTACCTACATCTTACTGGACTGACATACTACAACAAACAGTAAGGATCATACAATGCTCAGGAAGACCACCTGCGATTATCCACGTTGAGTACGAAGTACATTGTCTCAAGGGATCCCTTTGATTTTTGACTATTCAACACATCAGCTGGCCGTTTATTGAGTGTCTCCAGCCTCACTATCTCTTCCAGAGGTAGTCTCCAGGACTCTTAGTTTCAGTTTTTTGTTTTAGATACAGATGTTTTTAGATTTTGTGTCTAGCGACCTGCTTCTATAGGAGTATGTACACACATTGTTTATGTATATTTTTATTTACCTTGTTTATTATTTAGAATAAAGTGGGTTTTTTTTAATATAAATGTTCCTGTCCCCCTGTGCGATTCTTGGGTTCTCTTTCCTTTTACGATCAGAACTAGACTTGCGGAATTTATATAAAATCAGTTCCTTCCGACCTGGGCAGCGATGATTGTCTGAGAGCTTAGGGGTGCAAAAAAAAAAAGCCCCAATCTTGTTAATCTACTCCCAAAAGGATTAGCCAAAAAAACAAAGTAAAGGTCACCTTGCCGCTTGGCAACATAACAATTGCACTGAGCTATTATGGATTATGTTGCTGAGACTGTCCCTTTAACACATCTTATCTTGCTTTCCCGGTCTTTTTTTTTATGTAATTAATGTAATTATACCCAATGTTTCTAGACTGTAAGCTCACGTGAGCAGAGTGATTGTTACCCCTTGTTCCTGTCTTTCCCCTGGCTTAGTCTCAGTTGCTTAAAATGATTGATTTAGCTGTAGTACATACCGCATTGCAGAATTTATAGTGCTTTCTTAATAATAATAATTATACATCAAAATATCAGGCAGCAAAAATGAAATCACATTTTATCTTCACTGTATTTATCCAACGGCAACCGAAACCCGTTCAATTCATTTATTGCATTAAGTCATGTGCACTTGATACGAGGTCAGAAGACGCTATAGCTGTGTGACAGCCCCCTCT